TATTCCCTGTTCTTCAGTTTTCATGAATCAACATATTTTAATAGTATATTTTTATAGTTCTTAAATATAGGTTCTCTGCATTATTTATGCTTATGTTAGAGCAGGACGACACAAAGCAGCCCTACGTTTTATATACAAACTCTGCTTATTTTCATAATAAGTAATGGCTTCTTTCTGACAAATTCTAGCATTTGTATGCTAATGAGAGTGTATACATGAGTCTGGGGTGAAGAGACTTAGTACATTGATATAGAACTATATGGAATATCATTCGAATTGGAGTGAAATAATTTATTCCTAGAAGTTTTAGGTCTTAGAAACCAAAATGAGATAGTGAAATCTTGGGTGTATATGTTTAGGTTTCTGTGGAGGAATATATACATACACAATATACTTATTTACTATATATGTGTATTATATATACTTATTTATGTACATGATTTAATACATAGCTTACAGAACCAGATTAGATGTACAATAGCCTTTTGGGCATTGGTTAGACAGAAGATGCAGTAGATGCTCAGACCAAAAAGCTGAAAGCTACAAAAAAAAAAAAAAAAAAAAGATCACTAGAACTGTACCATCTCGAGAACAGAGGTCTTTAACTCCTTTAAGAGTCACTGATATGAATGTGTATCAAATTGAGAAACCTAGAGACTGATGTCCACAGGTGATAGCAGTAAAAATGCACCCCTTCAGCAAAACAGAGCTATTAAAATGCATTCATACTTAGTTCTATCATTTTTTTTCTAGGATACAAGGCTGTTAGATGGTGCCATTCATAGTGACACATCACCATTAGTGATCACTTTGGTTAATAATGAGGTTCGCTACGTTTTAAAAGCTACATTTAACATTCACATGATAATCAATTCTGAGTTCAAGTGGCAGGCACGGTGCTGCTAGATGGAAGAAATGACCTTGGGAGAAGATAGAAACTCTCCACTCAAGACATTTCTGTCCTTATCTTTATAATTACCTTTCACATATGAGCTTTGAGTTTGATTTGTTTGAGTTTGAGATTCAGCATCAAGTTGTTTATTTAAGCTCATTCTGTTTTCTTGATGTGAGAACTTATTGATATAAATTTCCCTCATATGACTACTTTCTTTGCATCCTGTAAGTTCTGGTATGCTGGATTGACATTTTCATTTAATTGTAAATACTGTGTAATTTCTTCTTTAATTTCCTCTGTGACCCATTGGTTGTGCAGGATGGTGTTTAATTTCCAGTGTTTATGTAGTTTTTGTGGTTTCTTTTGCTATTGACTTTCAATTTCGTTTCACTATGGTCATATCCATGGGATAATTTCAATTTCTACATCCTTCACAATAGCATAAAAAATGAAATACTTAGGAGTCGGTTTAACAAAGGAAGTAAAAGATCTGTATCCTAAAAATTATAGTACTCTGAAAAAGGACATCAAAGAGGATATAAGAAAATTGAAAGATATCCCTTGCTCATGATAGGAAAAATCAACATAGTAAAAAATGGCCATGTTCTTAATATTGTTACACAGATTTAATGTAATCCCAACCAGAATACTGTTAGCATGACTCACAGAACTAGAGAAAACATTCCTAAAATTCATTTGCAATCTGAAGAGACTTAGAATAGCAAAAACTATTCTCAGCAACAAAGGCAAGGCTGAGGGCACTACAATTCCTGACTTGATATTATAGTACAAAGTTACTGTGATTAAAAACAACATGGTATTGGCAGAAAGCAGACCTGAGGGTTAATGAAACAGATTAAAAATACAGAAAAACTCCAAATTCACTCATCCATCTTATCTCTGACAAAAGGAACCAAATATGTCCCCTGGAAGAAAGATAGTCTCTTTAATAAATGGTGCTGGAGGGGCTGGGGATTTAGCTCAGCGGCATAAGCGCCTGTCTTGCAAGCAGGTGGTCGTGAGTTCAATCTATACTTGCTTGAAAAATGTAAAATGTTTTAAGTGTGTCTGAGAAGGAATCTTCTTTCCCACAGCCATAAAGCTAGAATTGCCAAATACCAAACACAAGCCCACATCATGTGATTCACTGAATTTTAGCACACGTTTAACTCTCAGTCTTATCTGAGGTTATCTGCAGTGAAAGGGCAGGTATTGATAGGGAAAAAGTGGGATCCTGCAAACTAAAGGGAGACAGTTAGGTGGTGAAGATGGGGACAATGAGCTCCTACATTCTGGTAAGTTTATTTTGCTAGGGTAAGAGATTTTCCTACCCCCAGTAGCAGTAGTGTCATTTACTCCCCTTGTGGTGTTGACCTCTGTACTTCTGTCTGAGGAACAGAATCCTGCTTTGCCTAAGGAAGCAACAGTGAACTTCCTTGCTGCAGTTACCAAGACAGACAATTCCAGCGCTTCTTAGGGCCTACCTCACAACCCACTATTGCATCTAAGTCTATAATCAAGCTCAAATTTCAGCAGACTCTTAAAAGTGAGGTACACAGTGAGACCCATAAGAAGGTAAGTTGCACTCTGAGATAGCTTAAGGTTTTTAATTCTTGCAAGTAGAGGGCCAGAGAACAGTTCTGGGAATGTATTTTAAGGGTGTGGGATAATAATCGGAGGACATAAATGTAGATCATAAATGAACTTGTTGATTCAGCTGCGATTCTGGTTTTAATGTCACAGGACCTTGCACTTGCCGGGCAGGCACCATGCCACTGATCTATAACCCCAGACCTGTGCTCACATCTTTGAAGAGCTCTGTCATTTCTCTTCTGTGTTTGCCAGACTTTAGTGTGAGGATCACAGTTACTCATTGGCGAAACTTAAATGCAAGGGGTATAATTGGATCCTGAATACCAGGGGCCAAGTGACAATGCTCAACCACCACCAAAAGAAAGGTGTGCTGCTGGATATGGTGGCAAATTTTCTTTGAGTAATTCTGACTTTTTCATAATGTTATTTAACATGTAATGTAGAATCACTAATATTTAACTAGTGATACTAAGCCCATGAATGCTATTTACATAGTTTAGGAATACAAAAGATGAAAACAAAGATATCTACTTAACATATATGTACATATACACTCAGAAAACATCTCATCAGGTCTTAGTTCTTTACCTAGTGGAGTGATCCATAGATAGCTTTAATACTCAAGGTCTGGGCACATTCTCATATTGCCTGGGTTGGGTTGCTGTAGGGTCACATTCACCTTAATAATAGAATGTAGTGATAGTAGAAGATGCCCTAGGGAATATTCTACACTTGAAACATTCTTCCTTATCTATACTGTGGATTATTAGTCCAATTTACTCAGATTACTCAAAGAAAATTTTGGCTCCTATTCTGGGGAAACAGTTATTGTGTGTCCAGTTCTGAGAAGGACAGTTTTATCATTTTATTATTTTAGGTGAAATTATGAACTTGATATTGTCTTTATTTGGAAATTAAGTATGATTTAAGGAAATTAAGTATGATTTAAGTATGATATAAGGAAATTAAGTATGATTTTATGTCTGGTTGTGATGTTGACAATGGATAGACTGTGACTGTTAATCTGATATGTAAACATGATTGGATTAAGAAATATCTAGCAGACCATTAAAACACACTTCTGAATATGCCTGTGGGATATGCCCAGATATGATTAGCACGTAGTCCAATCAGCTGAGTGGGGCGGGGAAGATCCACCCTGTTTGCATGAAGTCCAATGAGCTTGTAGCCCAGATAGGATAAACAGGGAAGAAACAGATCTGTTAACAGTGTTTGGAAACTCCAGTTTCTTTAACCGCTCAGCATAGACGCATACCAGTGGCTCTCCAGGGTGCTTCCAGTCTTGAGATCTGATAGTGAGTGCTTCCTTGATTCTTCTTATTCTGCAGCTTCCAGCTTCTTTAGCTGAGTGGCTACTGAATCTTTTCCAGCACACAGATGGCCATTGTAGACCGTCTTTTCCTCTGATCCTGTAAGCTTACCTAATATACCTCCTTGCATAATTATACTTTTATTCTATTCATTATGATCCTCTAGAGGACCTTAACAAACACAGTAATAACAATATTGCATCACCCACGGAAACATTTTATTTTTAAAAGAATCTGACTATATTGACTTTCAGATGCAAAGCATGAAAAGATTAATATGACTGTGTTTATTTATACTTTTGGTCACAGATACATTTTTCGTATCTTTTTTGAAAGCTCAAATTCTGTTTTATTAGAATCAGGAAGAGCCAATGTTCTGTTATTTCCCTTGCCTGAAAAATTTTCCTCATTACCTTGAAACTTTCTTTCCCTCTATCACTCAAAAGATGATCATTATGAATAATGAATTAATTCTTACTATATATTCATTTTTTTCTTCCATATCAACACCAAATGATAATGGGCTTTTCTAACCAATTATCACTGTAGGTATTTCCTAGATATGAAAGTGTATAAACACTAATAAGATATGTCATATTTAATGAATAAATAAGAAAAGGTAAATGTTTATGTCATAGCAAAGAAATTTTAGACAAATTCTAATAGCAAAATGTATTGGAGGGTGCAGGGTATGTAAGGTTGAATTAGAGGTAGCATTTCCTCTGAAGAACTTTCTCAATTTTCCAATATAGATTCTTTCAATGCATGAAAAAATTAGTAGGGAAGTAGGGCAGTAATAGTACTGTTTCAGCACAGGTATGACCTTATGAACTATTACAATATCAAAGTTTTTCTTAGCACAAAGCCGTACAGATTTGCACCTTATCTCCTAAAGACCTGTAGAGAAATGAAGGTAAAGTTTCAAGTATACTACTTCTATAGCCTTATAGTTTTCCACACTTTCATCATTTCTCTCACTTTCTTTTAAACTAATTAATCCAAATTCACGTCTGGCCAGTATGTCTTTCTACATGTGAAGTAAAATACCATTTGATGTTTGAAACTATGGGGGTAATCTCAGTTACATAAATAGACCACTGGGAGAAGAGAATGCCTGATTAAATATATTCGTAAAAATATCAAAGGTTCATAAATCCAACCGCTGAACTGGAACGTGGGATGGGCAGCATTTTTCTGGTGAAGTGTGATCACACCATGGATGGCAAGAGGAAAGGTATGTGTAAAAACTCAGCAATTTATTGATTCTGTCAACACTCATGTGGGGATTAATGTGAAGTTTAGATTAATAAAAGGTCTCTCAGGTTCAAAAGTTTAGAAGAACTATTTAATTTTTTCTCTTCAAAGCAATTGAACAGGAAATCATAGAATGGTTTATTTGTATACAAGTGAGGCAGTTCTTCCTTTACCTGGACAGCTGGCAATGGCTGGAGATCTTTTGTATTGTTTTAATCAAAATGCAGTGTCTAGTGGATAGTGGACAGGGTACTGCACTATCAAGCACTGTCCAATACACAAGAAATATCTCAACATGAGAAATTATCCAGTACAAAAAGCTTGCAACGCCGAGATTGAGAAACTTTGGACTAGATGAATACCGCAAGAGTCAATGGGTCCAATTTATCAAAACGCCAAAAGGCAGCAACTAACACTCTCTGCTCCTCTGGTCTTATTGTAGATTGGCCAACTTAAATCATTGTCATGAATCTTTCAATTCTTCAGTCACAATGCAGACAATGATGGTAATGTGTGTTGTGTCCTGCTTTGTCAGTTTGTTTCAAAACAAATTTATGTTTTAAAAGGAAAAACAAGTTATTCACTTTATGTTTTAGGGGGCATATGCAATAAAAATAGATTAATAACAAACACAATTTTTTAATAAAAAAGGTAAAAAGTTTATCTATGTATCTCAGACTGTGAAAATCTTTGATGATAAATGTACAAATATTGTGGTTAGAGTGAAAGGACATCTAACTGGTTATGAATATTCTAGAGCTGCTATCTCGATTTCTCTATCTGTAAAGCAAATTTCATTTGCACATGCATACAGTATTGCCATGCGGATACCTTGCATTACTATCATATACTTAAAGCAAATTTTTGGACTCCTTATATTTTGGGGAAAGTAAATGTAATATGAATCATCTCACTCTGTTTTAATTTTGCAACTAAAACATCATCTAGTCACAGTCTATATTTAAAATTTCTAAGTATGTTTAGTCATTTTAAATATTTGTGTAGGTTTTATTCATGTATAAATCTATAATATTTCCCTAGAGATTTTCAATTGCATTTATCAAAGGTTTTGTGGAACTAGTCTTTTCATTGTCACATTTTTATTTTAGATCTTTCTCTGGAGTAATGGCATTGAAGTTAAAAAGTGATTTTAATTTCGTAGCAATATGTCATTTCTTTCTTTTTATGAGTGTAAATTATTGGTAGGCTAGAGGTCTGTATCTTTCCATCTACTGAAGTACCAAATTAATGAAAATCACCTCTGATTACTGTCAAAGATTTTTAAAGAGGGAGTGTTTATAGAACAGGAAAAGTGGATAATTTCCGAAGGTCCTCTACAATGGAAGACAAAATGTTGACCATTACAAGTAATGGTCACCATGAATATAGCTCAACCTGCCTGGCAAGTGCAAGGTCCTGAGTGTGATTTCTGGTACAAAAATCACAAGTAAGGGTAATAGCCTCTACAAATGCCATGCTGCATGACAGCTGAGGTGGTCCCTGCTGTGCAGGTGCAGACAGAGAATCCACAAGTGTGTGCACTGTGACACACCTGTGGGAAGTGCAAAGGGAAAGTGCAAAGATCATAGCACCAATGTTCTGCTTTTTCCACTTGTTGATAATAGGACTTGAGAAAAAACACATAATCCCTCTAAGCATTGTGTTCCTTCAGTATAATTTGATGATAATGAAGGCCCAGCTGATCTTCCAGGGTTACTGCAAACCTTAAGTTTAGAAAAAATCTAAGGTTTTGGCAAGGTATGAAGGTATCAGCAAATAATCAGTAAATGCATGAAATTATTATGGTTAGTTAACATATCCAGGCCAGAGCATTATTTTATGATAGGATTATCTTTATACTTAGTATTAGCAACTAAGTAGTCATATATTCATTCTTATCAAGCATGAAGATAAAACAAACAGATAAACTGTGGTCTTTTGGTCATATTAGTGTCTAAAATGCACATGTTGGAGACCTAGTGGAAAAAAAAAGCTGCAAACTCCTGGAAATCTGGAGTGCTTAAACCCTGCAGAAATCCCCAAGACATTAAATTATTTTAAGAGGATGATTTAATTTAAACACCCAGATCAAAATTAACTTCAGCTCCAAATGTTTGCAAAATACAGTAGCACTTCTGGGAGTAACATTGAGTCTTCTTTCCTCCCCCACCAGCTATTACAGCCCCAAGACGTGCAGAGGAGGGCAATTTGGAAAGACAAGAGATTTTTTGGCAGGGCTGCTTTTGATAACTTCAGATGAGTAGATTATCTGAGAGTGGCTCATGTTTTTGTTTAAACAGCATCCCTCCTCCTGATACTGCTCATGTCAAGCCTATTCCTGGGCAAGAGTATGGCCCTCAAGGTCATCTGCGGAGATACAGCAGGTTGTTTTCTGCCCCTTCCTTACCTTTTTGATCGAGCAGCCCTCATGTCTGGTCACATCCATTTCCTCTCTTCAGAGCTGTTCAAGGAATTTGTAAGTACTCACTTTTTTCTGAGCCTTCATACCCACACTGGGATACCCTACAATTTAAACATGAAGACCTCAACAAACACATTTCAAATAACATATCTGTCCTGGTTACTTTTCTCTCGTTGCTAGGATGAAATGCCTGACACACAAAATTATGGAAGAAAAGGTTTACTTAGCTCACAGTTTATGAAGGTTTCAGTTCCATACTCAGCTGGCTCCAAAGCAGGGTGGCATGACCCAGGGCAACGCTCCAAGATGGCAGGAGGCAGAAAAAACAGCAAAAAGCAAAAAGTGAAGCAGGAGCAAAAATCAGTGAGGACCTCTTCTCCTCCCTTACATTATAAGCAGGGTACCACCACTCCCTCGGGGGGATGTGGCACTCACACATTCTCTGTGCCCTCCTCTTGCACTGCTTTAGCCACTTAATCAAACTTCTAAACTCCTTAAGTTGACACAATGTATCAACCATTACAGTATCCTAAAGGGTTAAAGAAGGTATCAGCAAATAATAAGTAGAGCAAAGAAAAAGGGGAAATTTCATAAAACCTCAAATTGCTGAAGAATACAATATTTACTTATCTTTATTTTTTATTAGTACATGTTTGCTATGCATAATGATCATATTCATCATGGGGAACTTATATCTGTACACAATATATCTCAATTCACTTTTTTTCTCATTCCCCTACCCTCCTTTCAATCCTTCTTCTCCTCCTCACTACAAAACTATATCCACTTTTTCCTTTCTTTATTGCTTTTTGAAATCCATTTTCCCTTACTTCCTTTTCTCCTTGCCCTCCCTTGTTCCCCTTCCCATTTTTTTCTTGGATTTTTGAGACAGGGTCTCACTATGCAGTTCAGGCTGGCCTTGAGCTCATTTGTAGTCCAGGCTGATTTTGAATTTGCCACAATCCTCCTGCCTGAGCCTCTGGAGTGCTGGGATTACAGCCTTGCACCACCATGCCCGGCTTTCCTTTCCCATTTGAATAAATTCTTCCCACTTCCCAATATCTACCCTCTGTTTAATAATGCAATGACTTTTTAAAAAAAGTTTCCTTTTATTCACTTATTTTTAAAAATTTAAACATCTAACATAAATCACTTTTAGATGAGACTGAACAGGAATATCCAACTTTTTGTTTTAGTCTGCAGGACAAACACATTCTTCACTGAGCAAGCTGCAGAGTTACAAAAAATGAGAACAGCACTGCAGTGGATTGGGGTGGGCTGCGTAGAATTAAACTAAAGCGAATTCATGGCAAAGGGAAAAGCAAAAATGGGTTTTTCAGAAATCCTAAAATGCTAGGAGTAATTTTTCTAAGATAGTCAGTGTATGTATTTGTAATTAAAACAGAAAGGATAGTTTAGAAGTGGAAACAGGTTCTCTCTCTTCCCAAGAAAAGCACTTTGAATATTGTTTGTTTTCTCTTCTAGTTTGGTGAAAAAGTAGACAATAGATTAGGGCTCAGTACAGCAAAAGGCTTCTATAGAGAATGTAGTCCAGTGTTTTTTAAAATATAAATATATAAATTTCTTTTTACCATGATTTTTATTACTCATTTTCAACTGGTTGTCTTTTATCTTTCAAATCTCCTTGGTAATGCATTTAAATTTAGTCTAGTTCTTTTTGTTTCGAGTTAATTTCAATCCATTTCTTAGTATTTGCTACATTGTTTTGCCCTGTTTTTATGACTTATTACATGATGAGGCAAATTTTTAAATTTATTTTTAATTTTTATTTTTTTTAGTACTGGGGATCGAACTCACAACTTCTCGCTTGCCAGGCAGGCATTTATGCCACTGAGCTAAATCCCTGGTGCAAATTTTATATTTTGAAATTATGATGAACTTGGCAAAACACAGATGTGTAGATTGAGATAATTGAAATCAAGGTTATAATTTGTAGTGCCTATTTAAGGAGAGAATATAAGTTTGGATCCATAGGAAACAAGGTATGAAATAGGTAAAAAATAAATAAATATGCATCTTGGCATTTTGTACAAATACTAGAGAGGATAATACTTAATACTCTCACAGTTTTGCAGTTTTTCTGTTTTTAGTATGTGTTCCAAATAGTAACTCTTTCTTTCTTTTTTCTTTTTTGTCTTTGAGACAGGGTCTCGCTATTCAGTTCAGGCCAGCCTTGAGCTCACTTTGTAGTCTAGGCTGGTCTTGAACTCTCAACGATCCTCCTGCCTCAGCCAAATAGTAACTCTTAAGAAGTGTGAGAGGACAAGAGCATAGCAAAGAAAGGAAGATGTTAGTAGGTCAAAAAATAATGATATTATAGAGCTCATGAAAAAAAAGAACAGATAAAGGGATACTTAATTCTTTACTGTCAATCTTTACATTGCTCTCATTAAAAATTACACATCTATCAAATGTATTAATATTTTAATAGTAGATTCAAGTTTTCAATTTCCCATCACTAACTAAAGTTTCTTTATGGTTTCCAGGGTATGAAGTATCCACAGAACTCAAAGTCCTTTTACATGCAATGTCACACATTTTCCATTGCCAGTCCAACTGTCAAGACAGAGGCCCTGAAGCTCTCTGTGAGTCCCTAGCCCAGCTCCATCAGAACAATGGAGGCAGAATCCTGTCTCTGTCACACTGCAGGCTCTAAAGGCTCTGCAACTGATGGCAAAAGTGGTCACTGATGCAGAGAAAAATGGAGTAAGAGTAAGCACCAAAGAAAATGAATTATGTAGTTATAATTTTATGTAACTATGTAAAATATATCCATGCAGATGATATTTTAACCTAATGCCTTATACCTAGAATCTTATATATTATGCCATAAGGAAGTTAGAAATGAATTGGATATTTGTGTATACATGCAAGAGATGCAGATGCAGTTTCATTTATTATAAGTTACAAGTGACACTTGCTTTGGCGGTCTTTTACATTACTGAGTCCTACCTGAAAACCTGCGGCTTCTCTTTAAGACTTTCAAGACTCTCCTTCTGTTTCTACTTCTCCTTCTCTGATACCTACTTCTTCACTCTTCACTTATTGTCTTGCCTTCTCCTAACCCTTAACTAAAATTCATCCCATTATGCATGCCTTATAAAGTATTATATCATGTTTCTTACATGAAACTATGCCCTCTGTTCTGATGGTAACAAAATTTGTTTATTCAGACCTAATAATTGATCCAAACTGCTACTGTTTTTACTGTTACATGCTTTCTTTTCTGATTCCCAGCTATAAACACATTCTTAACATGATTTTAAATATAATTTTGGAGGGAAAACAAAATTTAATATTATCGATTAGAACTTTCATTAGAAAAAGTACAAATTTCAATAAGTTTGTGTATTTTGTGTAATGTAACAAAGCATAAACAAATGACTTAAATTTTATATTTCTTATAGTTCCACCATCTAGAGAAATTTTCACATATATGAAAGAATAACAAAAATGTCTTAATTCAGATTCTCTTTGCAAAAGTTATATGAAATGAATCTGCTGGTATGTCACTTATTTTAATGTGATTTCTCCAACCTGGCTGCTTAGTATAAGGAATTTATCAACTTGTTGATCCACTTGCTGCACTCCTGGAATGAACCCCTGAAACAACTCATCAAAGAAGCACATCGCCTGGCAAAAGCTCCTCAATCCATCGTAACAAAAGTGGAAAATATTAGGAGAAGAACCCTCCAACTTTTAGAAGGCCTGAAGATCATAGGCAGTCAGGTGGGCAACTTCTCAATGCTTCCTATTTATTCCTCTGTATCAGGAAATGTTTTTCAATTCCCCATTTTGCAAGAAGATCATTTAGGCTATGTGTTCTACCTTCTAGGCTGCTATGAAAGCAGAAGACCAAGCAATCCATAGTGTAGATGCTAATGTCAATGAAGCTTAGGATTCAACTGTGCTGGCAGGTGATGCCTTCCTCGTACTTTCCATAAAGCTATCAAGGACTTGTCCATTCATGACATGGGAAGTTAAACATTTTTCAGAAAAGACAAATCATGGAGTAGCATCTGTAAGGGAAAAGTTCACTTCAAAGTATCTTGAGACACCCATACGGGAATTTCAGTCATATTATTTCTCTTTTATCCTTACACCAGAAAATTAGAGTGGGAAGGAAAAAAAGAGAAAATTCAAAATGAAACTGAATGATTCCCTACTGAATCCCTACCCAGAAGTCCACAGCCCCACTGTTGTTCCACCAGCAGCAGATTTTAGAGTAGCACAGAAGAAGAGTTATATCTTTTCTGAACTATTTTTTATTTTATGATTTATTTAAAAAGTCCTAAATTTTGTTTAGTGCTCCTAAGTGAAAACTCATATAATTGCATTTAATTTCCCCAAATAAATTGCCATACACAGATTAAATTAGTGTTTTCAATATGTATATCTGTTCAGATAGGACAATTTTAACCATAGTGAGATAATAGCTGAGCAGGTTTTTGAATTTCTTAGAAATAATTTAACCATCTGAGGAAAAAATATATTAATATAGAAGTAGAGAAGCAAATATATATTACTCTTTTTGTGACTTAAGTATATGTTATCATGTCATGTTTGCCATTTTCAAGGAAGAAGACTATTTTCTTCTTTCTTTCTTTCCTTCTTCCTTCCTTCCTTTCTCCTTTCTTTCTTTCTTTCTTTCTTTCTTTCTTTCTTTCTTTCTTTCTTTCTTTTTTGTGTGTGCATACTGGGGACTGAACTCAGGACCTCGCGCTTGCCAAGCAGGTGTTTATGTCACTGAGCTAAATCCTGGCAAAAAGACTATTTTGAACACAAAGAACTTATTCAACCAGAAATACAGGAAATAGATTGTCATTTTCAAATTATTTTCTTCATTACGGTGAGTCAACAACATGAGTTCACTAATTTGCTTTATAGTACCTCATTTTCTGTCATTTTTCCCATCACTCATTCATTTATTATGTTTGTATCATGCCACCTTTCATATCATGGTACACACACCTCACATTTCAATAGGGAACCCTGATTTTAAAAGTTTTTTATTCTGCAGCAAAAAATTCAGCAGATGAGAGTCTACACTTATCCCAGATTTGCGCTTCTTAAACTCAGCTGACATCTATAATGGTTCCATGATGGCTGCTGGGTCTTTGAGATCTCTGGGGTTCCCTGACTTGCAGCAGCTGACAGAGGGCACATACAGTCACACCCCAACCTTACCAAAAGGCCCTTACCACAGAGGGTTGCTGTCAACACCCTCCTTCTTGCAGGTGAGTTTCCTAGAAACTCCTCCCACAGGGAACTCAAAACAAAGCAGCTGCTCCTCTAGGAAAACTCGAAACTCGAAATTTTCCTTGGATGAAACAAGAGACTCATAATCCCTTTGGCCACACTTATTAAGTCCTGTCTTGACTCCGTTTCTTAAAACATGAAGTGTCATCCTTATATCTTAATGTTTTGGGGTATGGGTACAATATGGAGAACAGATTCAATTCAAAGCAACAAAAAAGATGAACAGTGATCTATTGGGAGAGCTAAAATACCAAGAACACACAAAGGAGAAGTTTCAGGCAATACATAAATGCATTTAATGAGAGAGAGAGGAAGCTGACCATTGTCCTTTGGGTAAATCTGTATCTATATTCCAGTAGTCATCTTTTGGTTCTCCACCTGCCTACTCAGCAACATACTTCACCTGTGGGTCTTGCTTTTCTATCTCTTCCCAACTCTTAGTTCAATGGTTAAAAAAAACAAAGACAGATAAACAAATACTAATAATATGAATAATAGGTGGCTATCTTTTTGATGCCTAGGTTAATCTTGAAATCACAAACAACAGGAAACACGCTGTTTGGTCAGGACTTCCATTCCTGAGATCATCTGATGAAAAACTTCGGCAGACTGCTTTTCATAACCTGGTGTACTGCCTGCTCAAAGATGCACATAGGATTCACACTTACCTCAATGTCATGAAGTGTCGAATCACATCTGGTGACCACTGCTAAGACCATAACCATTCTGTCTGTTTCTGAGATTATTTTTAATGATCCATTCCTTGGAAATTTTCTTTTAGTTTTACAGCTTTTTGTTGCATGCTTGGATGTCAGGGTGCTTTTTTTTCTCTTTTGGCATTTTAGCTCTAAGCCTTTCTATGCAAGGTAGCCTCTTCTTAAAAAATAAAAACTGACTCCTTAGAATTGTTAAAATATTAAAAATCAACTTGACAAAATTTCTTTTCTTCATTTAATAGAAAACTGAAAGGAAACGTATTACCTATCAAAATGTGTCATGAGAGAAATTAGCCTTGAAAATAAGACAATTAATTTATTTTAGAATCCCAGTGAATTAATGTTGGGAAGATTATGAGAATGAAAGATTGCTATTAATCATTCTGTCTTGCGCCAAAGAATGAACTTTTAGAACTCTTAATGAAAGTCAGCTATGCTCTATGAGCTTTCACAATACCTTGATAGACAATACAAGTTCTGTTGTACCACGACCCAGTGTGGCTCCTGAGGTTCTTGGGGTTAAGGATCAGTGAGAGGATGAGAAAAATAAAGAAAAGACAAAGCTGGGGTCAGGTGGAGCCCTTATCTTCCTGATGGGAGGAAAGGAATTGCTCAATCAATGCAGCATGTTTATTTATATCCTCCAAAGAAGAATGTCCATTTCAACCCCACTGCCTAGCCTCACAGGCCTGGACCCCTTGTCTTCTTGGTGCTGGAACAACTTGTTTACATAGCTTGTTTTGGTCTCTCTGTTTTTTTCTGAGCTGGCCTTGCTTTAGCCCCACACATGTGGTTAATCTCCAGCATCTGTGGCTCCCAACATATCCCTCTTTGTTTTGTTGTTGCCCAGGATGGGTGACCAATTGAAGCTGGAGGAGCTGTGCTGGAGAGTTCTGTATATCCTTTTATTTTAAGTGGAGTCCAAAGATTTTAAGTCCCTGCATTCTGCAGTTGAAACCCTGTTCAGTCCATTAATCTGTGACAGTAGTCAGCTATCAGTGCAGCTGTCAATTGTCAAAAAGTATTAGTATCATGCCATGAGTTTTTTTTGGTACTGGGGATTGAACTCACAACCTTGCACCTAACAGGCAGGTGCTTATACCACTGAGCCAAATTGCCAGCCTTGAGTTTATTTTATAGTGTATTACTTTAGCATTGTTTTACATCCCTCTAGTAGTTATACATTTTCTGCAGGATATTCAAGACCAAATTAAGGTGAGACCTGCTTTAAATACAATCAATTTTTGTTATCTATCAAGGTCAGTTAACTCTCCTCAGGAATACCTTGGAGCCAACTATAGAACCTCCTAGTTCTTCTGTCAGGGTCTACCATTCAGATGAGTCACACCATTGCTTGATCAACTTGCTTTCTGTGAAAGCCTGGGAGATTTTTGCTCCTGGTGACTCTCCTTAGGCACCACAAACTGATAATCACTTTCCTCAGTGGCCTCAGTCTTCTTGATCAGAAGACCAGGACTCACTGAGTATAGGATGACACAGCAGAGGTTCTTTTATGTCCTGGGTCCTCATGGGCCTTGGAGGGCTAGGGCCAAAATATTGGCTATCCTCTTATCCCACCTATCTAATTATTGGTCTTTATACCTCAGCTGTTGAATATCCAGAAGAAAAGATTAATAACAGTGCAATGTAGTTAGAGGCATTATTGTCTTATCTAAATTCAGACATCTTACAACATAAAATAGAACCATTATTTTTCAACAACCATGGCTATTTTAACATTTGAATACCTATAGGATGTTAACAAACAGTTACATATTTTACACAGAAAATTAGAAATCAAACCTTATACAATACTGTAGCATAAAACCCATGATGACATTTTGTAACACACTTGAATTTTCATTTTGACATAAAATTCCACCCTTTTGGTTCATCATCCCTATCTAATACATAAAAGATTTTACCTAAGTTGTTGACATTTAGTGGAATGTAGATTTCATAAGCATTTGTTGGAGGCAAAGGTTTGAATCTGATCCAAAATTTTGTCACCATAATAATCCCTGTTTTACATTTTCAAAGACCTGTACATCTGAAAGCATGAATATATAAATACACCATGAGGTTAACAACAATCATTTGTCAACAATATGAAAACCTTTGTATGGTCATTTTAAAAATAAAAAACCTTTTGTATTATTTCTTTTAATGATGACCAATGAGAACATATTACAATAATATTTATGTAATTTTAGTTGGTGATGTTTCCCATAAGGCTGTGGAGATCACTGAGGCCTCCAATCAATGAACAAGAGCTGGTAAAATATTACCAGGTGGCCACTTTCTTATTCATCAACTGAAGTCCTGTCAAACAATCCCAACCCCAAGGGATTTTTCTTTAATCATTTTTATAATAATTTCTTCTTAAGAAAACTCCAATCCTAACATTTAACATATTATTTTTGAACAAAGAGAGACTCTGAAATTGTGATAAACAACAAAGTACATTACATTTTACACAACTGACTTTAGCATCATTTTGACTAACTGGGAACCAGGTGGAAGCATGTTTTGTAATTTTATAACTCAAATAAACCTTGATTAAATGATCTATAAATGTAAAAGAAAAAAGAAAAAGGAAAATTGCCGAGCTCAAAATAAAAAGAACAGCTGTTCACAAATGGACAAATGGACAAACATGGATAGACAATCTGTACAGATTCAAACAGATGTAGAAACAAACACAGGGCTGTCAGTGTCCACAAGGACTCTCCAAGTTCCTGGGGGCTATTCATGCCCCTTTGCTGAACTAGTTCACTTCTTACACCCCATGTCCTTGGGACTGAAACACCTGTCTCTTCCAGCACCCCATCCATACCTTAGGGTTTTAGGGTTATGGTTATGGTTTTAGGGTTCAGGGTCAAGTTTCAGGGCTCCAAGTGAGGGTCAGGGGGGCTGAGACGATGGATGGGTTGAGGACCATGCTCTGAGTGGGGACTGGTCAGGCCAGGAGGGCCTCAGGGAGGGAGGGAACCAGGCCTAGGGCCTCGGGTCACTGGCCTCCCACACCTCACCTTACTTCACCTCAGTTCTGAGGTCATGGGTGAGCGGGAGACTCCTTCCTTTCATCTCCCCTCTCTTTCACCCAATGGGACCAGGCCCTCTGCAGCTTTGCCCTTCCCTTGGCTCCCACCTCCACTGCTGTAGCTCAGCCTCACCAGTGCCATCTCTCATGAGCCCTGTACTGAACAAACCACTGTCCTATATCTGGACACCATCCCGGGAGGAGGGAAAAATGGAAAATCACGCAGGGTCTGAGTGAGTGAGTCCTGTGAGAAAAGCAATATGAGCTGGATGATCCGGCATACCTCCCAATAGAAAAATCATTGCACATCCTCCCTCCACTCAACCAAAGAAGCAGAGGGAGATGGCTTGGTGTCTGTCTGTCTTTTGATCCAAAGTCAATGCCAGATCCTAACTAAATCTCATTTCCAATGGGATGTCTTCGTGTTGTGTGGTTCTCTCTGATTAGAAGCTGTGTGACTTTGCTGTTCGGGGACACTCTTTCACTCATTCACTCAGCCAGACTCTGAAACGCATCTGTCTGTCTGTCTGTCTTAGCTCAGCATCACCAATGGATGCTATGTCAAGAGAGCCCCGCCTGTATGTAACTAGTGTCCGACCCATATTTGACTTGAAAGAGCAGAAAACTATGCAGGGAAGGGCCCCCCTGCCATGAGAAAAGCAGAAAGAGCAGTAACCGCCCCCCCATGGGACAAAAAAGCCACCCACTTACTCACTTGACCAAAGAAGTGGGACACCAATGAGTGTGTCTGTCTGCTGACCAAAAAGCAATGTCAAATTCTAGCTAGTCACATCGTTCCTGACAGGATGTCTGTCTGTATGTTTTTGGCAGTTCTATGTTACAAAGCTTTGTGAAACATTGAAAATCACTCAGGGAGAGAGGGACTGAGTTCCCATGATCCTCACCATCACCCTCACAACACACACACACGTGCCGGTTCCCCACCCTCACCCTAAAAACACACACATGCCCTGTTTCCCAACCTTACCCTAAACACACACACACACACACACACACACACACACACACACACACACACATGCCCTGTTCCTCAGTCTCACCCAAAACACACACACATGCCTTATTCCCCAACATCACCCTAAAAACACATACACATATGCCCTGTTCCTCACCCTAACAAACACATGCCACCCCAAAAATCAAGGCAAGATTCTCTGTCAATCTTTCCTGATGAGATGCCTGTCTGGCTTTTGTTTTTTGGTAGTTCTGCATTCAAAAGCTTTGTGAAACATGGAAGATCTCTCAAGAAGGGAGGGTCTAAGTCCCATGAGAAAAAAAGAATGAGCCGTACCCACAGGAGAGAAAAGTCAATCCACTTGCTCCCCAAGGAAGTGGGAGACGTATAGGTGGGTGTCTGTCTGTCTCCCGAACCAAGAATCTGTGTCAGACTCTAGCTAAAACTTTCTCAGCAGGACATTTTTCCAGTTTGTGTTTCACTGTCTGTTCAAAATCTTTGTGATTTTTTCTTTTCCTGGTTTGGGGCTGGCCACTCTCTGAGACTTTGAAACGAGAGATCCATGCAAGTCGTGGTTGCCCAGTTCAGCTCAACTCAGCTCAGCTCAGCTCAGCTCACTGGACTGTGTGTGAATGCATCCATCTGGCTCCTTGGATTCCTCTGCCTGTCATTCATGATCCCACTTCAGTCCTGCTTGCCTTTTCTCTCTCTCCCTTCCTCCCCCTTTCCCTCTCCCTCTCCCTCTACCTCTCTCTCTCTCTCTTTCTGCTTTCCTTGGCCATTTTGCCTATTTTTGGTTATTCTCTGCTTTTGTTTCCAGTGCCCCTTGCCTCTTTTCGCTCTCTCCACTTTTTGTCTGACCCTAACAACACACACACACACACACACACACACACACACACACACACACACACCCCAGTCTTCACTGTAACCCCAACAACACACACACAGGCTGTGGTGGACAGGCCACTTTGCTCTTGAGCAAACTGGGTAGCAGTGGCTAGATCCAGGTCAACCCAGGCTGAGTTCTGGACTCCTGGTGTGGATGTGCAGTGTGAGCTCCTCTATACACTGCAGAATGATTTAATGCTCTGGGAAGCCATCTGCTTCTTCTGATGTTCACACAGCCATGAGGGAGCCCACCCAGTTCATTTGGAGGATGAGGCCTGACCCGCTGGGGACCTGCCCCATGGCCCACT